ATAATAAATTTCAAGCACTTATATTTTCATGATTTTTGTAGAGACTTTTACAAAGAGTGTATTGTAAATATTAGTTTAGATAGCGTACGTTTTGGACTGTCAAATCAATATCATGCTTTCATGAATAATGTATATTATGTATACTTGTAATTAATATAATCACATTGGTTCAGAAGTACATATATTAGAACAAGAATTATAGTATCCTTTTTAACGTAATATACAATTATAAATACGTACCGCATATCGCGTACAATACAGTAGATCATTATATCGTTTGTTAATGAGGTGCTTACCGTTGGAACGGGAGTTTTGCATGACATTGGGTTCTGAAATATACTTTATATACTCTTATGGTACGTATTGCTTTAAATAGTCAAGTTATATATCATTCTCATTCAAATGGTACATGCAGTTTCTAAAGTGATGTACAGTATGCGATAAGAATCTAGATAACAGAAAATGACACTGTATACATAGTTTTTAATACTAATAAGTATGAACATTCTAAAGTAATACATATTATGTGAATTTTGAATTAATAAGCGTTTATCCTGCAAAGCTGAATTTCATCGCGTATTGCAGGTCACCATGGCATTAAGTTGTTTAAAGGGTAATCAGCCTATTATTTCAATGATGTCAATGTAAAATGCATGCCCGGACGTGAACTTTGAACACAGCGGCTCATTTGCGCATTATGTGCGAATTGTGACATTGAGCCAAATGCCTGCTTTATTATCTCGACATGTGCATTTGAACTCCTCGACTTGAGGAAGCTTATGGTAATTGAGCACCTGCGCTGCTAGATGCTTCTTGCATAAATTTGTCTGCTACGTGCAATATGTTACTCGTTTTGGAGGAGTTAAGCGCTTTTAAACTTGCGTCGTTGTGACCATCTATGTGCGACGCTCATCGCTATTATAATATGCTGTCATCAGCGTCCCTCAGTTTCAGTGCCATAGTTTGGGTATTTAAGGTCTGCCTGAATCACCGTCCCAACTTCAAGTCATCTACGTTGATTCAACGTCATGCACGTTGATATGGTCGTCTGCACCTCCGCCGTCGTCTCGTATCTCGTATATTGTTCAGTACCGCGAAATCGGCAACCCGACGTGGTTTATGGCCAACGACGAACCGCTCTACACCGCACAGTACACCGGTAAGAAATGCACAGTTAACCGCTTGTGGGAAACAGACACAGTCCTATCTGTACCTTCTGTTTTTTTTCTAGTTGAAGGCCTGCGTGCAAATTCAACCTATGAATTTCGAGTGTTTGCCCAGAACGCTTACGGCATCAGCCAGTCGTACGTGCTGTCGGAAATCGTGCAACTGCGGCCGACTGGCAAGGGATCGGCGGCGGCTGGTCAGCAGAGACGAAAGGTTTTTGTTCAACGATTGGCTAAGTAATGGTCTTCAGGCGTGCCACCTCGACCGAACCGCCCAGATGTCACCGACAGTCTAAACAATAGCGTTACGCTCAGATGGGATCCGGTCATGTCGTCGGTGTCCGTTCAGGGATTTCAGGTGGAGTACTGTGTGCCAAACGATTCGCCGCAGCGATGGACGCGGGTCAATTCGATACTGACCAAAAACAATAGCATGACAAGTAAGCGACCTTTATAGCGAAGTTTTATGGAGTGCCTGCTTTTTGCTGCGTACTGTTCTGCTTACAGTCGGAGATCTGATACCCGGTCAGGAGTACCAGTTCAGGGTGACGGCGAAAAATTCTATCGGCTATTCGCGGCCATCGGAGCCGAGTCTTCCGATCAGCGTTCTTGAGCCAGGTGTCAGAGGTTAGTTTGTTTATGCGCTGATTTATTCCTTATGCCTTTTGCTAAAATTGTTAACCTGTTATATTTACAATTCGAACAGCTTTGCCACTGTGAAAATGTTCACAAGAATTTGATTAGCGAGCTCAAATTTGTGGATAGTTCAGTTTACGCTGACGCTCTTGCATTTTTTTTGAGCCTGAATAAGTGTTGAAGTATTATAATTTACATGAACTTCTGCTCGTGGGGAATGTACACTAGCCCCTTCGATCGGTTTTGTGGTGGTGTTATCCCCTACCCATCGCTGCCTCATCGGTATCTGTAGAAAATGTCGAGTTCGTGGCGGTAAATGGTCATGACAAAGTAGTTGGCCATTTTAGCAGAACTTATTTGCAAAACATCGGATTGCTAACTTTTATGAATAAAAGCGGACGAATCGATGAGTTGTGCCATTTGGCGAAAGAAAGCAGGAAAGTCCGGCCGTTACCTGTGCTGTTCCTCCGACTGTCACCATCACTGGTTCCATTGAAGTCCCGGATCATTCCTTTCCACTTCTTCGATCTGCTGAATGTCTTCCACAAAGTTTAACTAATCTTTCTTATACCATGGCCTGATCCCGCCCGTATGCAGGACTGTCTTGTGCTCATATATCATGTAAATTCTGATCTTTGAACAATTCATTTATTGTTATAACCTTTTCAGCACGGAACATGTTAATTCTCCGACGATACCTTTTCTTTTCAGACACGTCTACGCTACCAGTGGAAATCAGTGAAACCAGGGAATCTCCGCCGATTACCGACACGGATGATTCTCCTCCTCCATTGCGTCGTTTCTCACCGAACGCTAACGAAGGTGAGGACGCATCAGGCTTGGGTTCAGAGGGTTCCAGTTCTTTTATCGAGTTCTCTGTTGGTCTTTTAGTACAGTACCGTGATCCGACTCTGCCAGAAGTAATCGACTACCTCGGCAACGCGAACAACATTATAAAGTTGAACGCGAGTGGCTACCTGCAGCATTTGACATTTAATGACGACTCGATCAAACAGAAAGTTCGGTAATCGTGCAAGACAGTGTGTACTTTGGCAATCGTATATAAAGCTACAATTTAAGGGCTTTAGGCGGCATCGAGAAACTGGTAGCGCTGCTGAACAGCGAGGTGCCCGAGATTCAGCGCAACGCCTGCGGCTGTCTTCGTAACCTGTCGTTCGGACATCCCGAGAATAAGGTACCAATAAGTATTTATTCTTTCAGCGATTTATGACCACCTTTCAGTTATGCGTTTTGGACTGCAACGGGGTCGAAGCGCTAGGCAGTCTGCTGAAACGAACGCCTGACGTCCAGGTGGTTGAAGAAGTGACCGGTGCCCTGTGGAACCTGT